GTCTCCAGCCAAGTAATGTGTAATATTGGTGGAAACTCCTTTCCATAAATGAGCTTATTAAGCAAAGTTTCACACAAAAATGTGTAAATTGGGAGAAAGGCACACCAAAATGCTATGAATTTTCATGCAGACTTTGAAAGAAAAATCACAGGGGGGTATGGCAATGTGGAAAACTGAACAGTGCAAAAATGAGAAACACAAGAGAAACAAACTGGCAGATTTGCCCACCTCTGTTGTGATCCTTGCATCAATTAATTGTTTGAAATAGTGTTGTGACGTTCGTTTGTTTCGATCCCAGCCTGTATTATGCCCCTTTCAGGCTCCCTGGAGCTACAAGAGCTTGGCACAACTCTGACCCAACCTTCAGCAACAAAGCAGCATGGAACTCAGCACAAGTAATTCCTATGATTCCAATGAGCACATCTAGTGCTAAGATTTCAAGGGAGGCTCTGATTGGGGAGGGGGCAAGCACACAGGCTAGTTAGTGCAAATAGCAGGCACTTACTCTCCACCACAAATATTATATGGACTTCAAGTCTTATGCAAATGCAACAAGATTGCAGCGTTAAGATTTATGATATTAATTAATTGCATGCAAAGACATAATTGTGCCATAAAATAGTTACTGGTATCCCAAACAGAGCAAGAGTCAAGCATTAAAGCTTCTGGGGGATTTTTTTTTACTAATTTAGCAATGAATGTTTCATGCTGTAAATTGTTTCTATTGCACCAGGAGGTCCAAAGAAACTCCCCTTTTCAAATTTTTATAGGATTAACAGAATTAGTTCAAACCCAGTGCACAGACTGTATTTGGTGTTGGAACCAAAGGCTGCAATGTTTAGGGAAGCTTTTAATGTTTGACGGACTATTGTATGTTAATATTTTGTTGGAAGCCGCCCAGAGTGGCTGGGGAAACCCAGCCAGATGAGCAGGGTTTAAATTTATTATTATTATTATTATTATTATTATTATTATTATTATTATTTGCTGTTGTTGTTGCTGTTGTTGTTGTTTACACCTTCTTTTCACTTGGTTGCAAATTGACTGCAGTTTTGCAGCCTCTCACATAAAGAAAGGTTGCTCATATCATCAGTGTGAGGTCAGGTGACCACTGAGCCAACTCTGTGCATTGTAGTCACGATCTTTGCTGGGCACTCGCTAAATCAACGTATGGTAAGGAGAGGCCATCAGGAAGGGCTTCATCTCTACTGTCTGGGTCTGGGTCTTCTCATATTGAGTGTCTAAAGCAGCCTTTCTAAATGCAGTAGCTTTCATATGCTGTTGAACTCCAACTCCCATCAGCCTCAGGGAGCATGGCCAATGGTCAGGGATTATGGGGGCTGTAGTCAAAAACATTTGGCAGATGGTGGCATATTATATAGCATAAAATAGGCCACCAGCAACCAATTGATGCCTCATGAAGCTGCCTCAGTTTCCCATTCCATCTGAGTTCCCATTTCAATCCCCCCCTACTTGTTTCTCCTAGCTTTTGAACGTTTTTTCCTAAGTAGTTTCAGAACAATTCAGAAAATGTTTTCCAGCAACCTTTTCTTCATGTTCCCCTATCTGAGAATAAATTGCATCATGTTGGTGTGCAGTGCTGTGCAGCATAGCTAAACCAGAAAGGAATTACTTTCACTTGCCTTCAAGAACAGTAGCTGTATTGCACTGTTAGAAGAAGAAGAAGAAGAAGAAGAAGAGGAAGAAGAAGAAGAAGAAGAAGAAGAAGAAGAAGAGAAGAAGAAGAAAAAAAGAAGAAGAAGAAGAGGAGGAAGGGTATGTATTTGAGCAAACCTGTACCAAACCCAGTGAGGATTACTTTTCAGTAGACCTGCATAGAATTGGGAATACTAATAATAAATAATTCTAATCTAAGCTACCTATTGTGAAAACTGAAGCTCTCTCTCTCTGTGTGTGTGTGTGTGTGGAAGCCGTGCTTTGGTTTCCGAATGTTTCGGAAGCCGAACGGACTTCCGGAATGCATTCTGTTTGAAAATCAAGTTAAAACTGTAGCTGATCCAGAATGCTTTTGTCTCTGGCACCACCAGCACATGACCTCCCCCTCGCTCTTCCCTAGTAAGGAAAAAAGGTCTCCCAGCCCTGGTTTATAGTCTTGGTTTCAGCAATTGACTAAAAGACCGAAGCACATACATTCCATTATTTTCCAAGTACGTCCACAGCACTCATTCTATGTCAGACTCACTCTGCCCACCCCCTTTCCTCCATGCTATGTGTTCTTGTGTAATTCTAAGCAGTCGTCAGGCCACAGTGCGCAAGTTCAAGGGTTTAATAATGTATTGCCTTAAAAGCGCCATTGCACTGATGTCACGTTTCAGAAGTCCATTGGAGGCAAATCCTCAAGCGAGCCGGCATTCATCAGGCCAACTTCGCAGAGACAGATCAACTGGATTGTTCATCGGCAGACTGCCTGACCCATAATATATGGGCAATTTACACAATTTTCTAAATGACAGTATTTTACTGAATTTTGTTTTGAAGCGTAATGTCAAATCCTGAGATGGTACAATATAGCTGTCATTATAGAATATAAGCCTACACTGCTCAGAAAAATTGTGCCCAGAACAGAGTGATTGACAAGGTGGCCTGTCAGATTTCCGCAGCACAATACACGCTGCCACTCAGGTTTATTTATTTGGGATATTTCCCCTCACTCGCTTGACTTAGAAGAGTCCACAAAGGGTCTAAGCAGCAGCAATATGCAGAAAATAAATCAGATTGAAAACAATGGAGACCAATCAGTTATTAGCACTTTAGCTTGCAGATGAAGGATCACAGAAGAGAAGGGTTTTCTCAGATAAACAAGTTGAATGCCAGAGAGAAGTAGAATCCTTATGACTGACATCTTGTATTCTATATAAAGAAAATGGCATTTCATTTTGAATGAGCTCAGAGGGAGACCTGCAGGACCACAGGAAGCCGTACTATTCTGAATCAGACAACTTGTTCATCTAGCCAAATATTATCTGCTGTGACTCAAGTTCTCAGGTTGAGGTTTTTCTCTTGACCATGAAACTGGGGCCTTCTAGATGCAGAGAATTTGCTCTACTCCTGATCTATACCAACCAGAGGCAGTTAAAAGCTGGGAGGCAGCCTTTGGAGGTGCATGTGCTTTTCTATAAGGAAATCTGATGCAGAATTAGTGATAGCATTGCATTCTTTACGATCTGCTTACTTTCCAGTGTGCTTTACTTGTCCATCTGGTACGCAGGCTGAGACCCTACCCTACCTGCTCGTGAACTGTCTCGCCAGAGTGGTGCATGCTCTAGTTATCTCCCGCTTGACTACTGCAACGCGCTCTACGTGGGGCTACCTTTGAAGGTGACCCGGAAACTACAAATAATCCAGAACGCGGCAGCTAGACTGGTGACTGGGAGCGGCCACAGAGACCACATAACACTGGTCTTGAAAGACCTACATTGGCTCCCAGTACGTTTCTGAGCACAATTCAAAGTGTTGGTGCTGACCTTTAAAGCCCTAAACGGCCTTGGTCCAGTAGACCTGAAGGAGCGTCTCCACCCCCATCGTTCTACCCAGACACTGAGGTCCAGCACCGAGGGCCTTCTGGCAGTTCCCTCATTGCGAGAAGCGAGGTTACAGGGAACCAGGCAGAGGGCCTTCTCGGTAGTGGCGCCTTCCCTGTGGAACACCCTCCCACCAGATGTCAAAGAGAACAACAACTACCAGGCTTTTAGAAGACATCTGAAGGCAGCCCTGTTTCGGGAAGCTTTTAATGTTTGATGTATTATAGTATTTTAATATTCTTTTGGAAGCTGCCCAGAGTGGCTGGGGAGGCCCAGCCAGATGGGCGGGGTATAAATAAATTATTATTATTATTATTATTATTATTATTATTATTATTATTATTATTATTATTATTGTGTTTCCCTCCATAAATCTTGGTGCTTCTGCCAGCCATTAGTGTGGAAACCCAGCTTTTGGAAAGGAAGTTCTCTTCTTTGTGTGTTTGCCCCACATCACATTGCTCTCCCTATTTTCTCATAGTTTTCTCGTTCCTAGACTGAGAAGAAATGTGGATTACCACAAAATGCGGGTTACTACCAATAATAATAATAATAATAATAATAATAATAATAATTTATTTACATCCCGCCCTCCCCAGCCGAAGCCAAGGGGTCTGTCTTGCTATGCTGATTTGCCCTTGAGGAGGCTCACTGCAGCACAGTTTGGAAGTGATCGATTTATACGAAGCATTTCTTTTTGCAACACTTGCCGGACCCATTTCTTTAGTGATCTAGGCTGAAAACTAGAACGTCGTTTGAATCTATAAGATATTGTTGTATTTTGTTTTATTTCTTGGAATGTCTTTGTTTTGAAAGTATTGCCCTGCTCAAGACCCCTTTGAAATGGGCTGGGGTGAAAAAAATCTGAAGAAATAAAATGAAAATGAAACTGCCTTAGTCTCTTAAAGGTATTAATCTGATGACTCTTTGCTTTTGCAGGTAGCATCTTGGACAAAATACTGGGCAGCGCTGTCTGGAACTCAGCTTTTCTACTATGCCGCAAAGTCCTTGAAGGCGACAGAAAGAAAACATGTATGCAATGCATTGTACTACATCTCCCAATGATATTTATGATCTTCATCCAGAGGGATAGATAGAACCAAACAGATATTATAGATATTTTAATATGCAACATGCATTCTCTTAATTACCTTTTCCTGCTCTTTATTCAGAGATGATAGTTTAGCTACCTTGCTTTTTCCAGGACAGTATTTTGCCTTTTTTTCCCCGACAGCAGGATTAACATTTTTTCTTCTCTCCTTTCATTGGGAACACTGCAACTGCAAACGTTTTCACTGCTGCTTTCTGGTTAACCATTGCTGCTGTCTGGATACTTGCTGCTCTGCCTACTTTTCTCCCTTAGTTCCCTCTCTTAGCCTCTCCATCTTGATTTTCTGCTGCCAACTCAGCTCAACAGCAGTCTTGAAAAACAATTCCAAACTCTGTAAATCTTCCTGCTTGAAATGCTCTGGAAGCAGCCTTCTGAGTTCAGCTGGATCTGTCTTAGTATACAAAGCTTGCATACCATGCACAATGTATACTGTAGCTACTAAACAATGTAAAGCAGCCATTGTGATAATCTCCAGTCTGATGAATCTGCAGTGGTATATTTTCTTGGTATTTAAATTCTTCAGGTCCCTAAAGCATGGGTACTAAAGTCACACTCATCCCAAAATGTGTACACAAACTGATTTCCTCAAATTGAGTCCTGTTCGTCTCTGATTTCAAATGGCCAATAACTTTTATCTGAAGCAGAGCATTGTAAGAAAGAAGTCTTCAATTGATTTCAGACAAATTGAAAAGCCAATTCCTATTGCCAATTCTGGTAGTAGCTGTATACATCCTTTCTGTCATCTGTTTTTCACTCATGCAAAATCAGAATTCTACATTATGTTTGGATTGGAGAGGCAGACTTTTAAAATGTAACATGTAACATCTCTGTTCAGCTTTTAACATCTATTTTGCATTAATGACGTAAAAAGCCAGTGCTGTTTTGTTCTGTGTTGCAGCATTTAATGCATATCTTGTGGTTTGTTTGTTTTTCCCTCTTTCCATTAACGTGGTTCTGTTCTTTGCTTCCTGCTTTCCTCCAGTTCAAATCTACCCCAAGTAAGACTGTATCTGTTGTGGGATGGATGGCCATGATGGCTGATGACCCAGAACATCCAGATCTCTTCCTGCTCACAGATTCTGAGAAAGGTCAGTGACTGAATATCCTTGGTAGATTCCCGTATGATTGTGGACACTGGGTGATCTTGGGACAATGGGATTATTGCCTTTTTGCCACTAATTATGGAAGCAAATAGGGACGCGGGTGGCGCTGTGGGTAAAAGCCTCAGCTCCTAGGGCTTGCCGATTGAAAGGTCGGCGGTTCGAATCCCCGCGGCGGGGTGCGCTCCCGTTGCTCGGTCCCAGCGCCTGCCAACCTAGCAGTTCGAAAGCACCCCCGGGTGCAAGTAGATAAATAGGGACTGCTTTCTAGCGGGAAGGTAAACGGCGTTTTCCGTGTGCGGCTCTGGCTCGCCAGAGCAGCGATGTCATGCTGGCCACGTGACCCGGAAGTGTCTTCGGACAGTGCTGGCCCCCGACCTCTTGAGTGAGATGGGCGCACAACCAGAGTCTGGCAAGACTGGCCCGTACGGGCAGGGGTACCTTTACCTTTATGGAAGCAAATGAACCTCAGGAGAATAAAATGCATACAAATACTGGACAGCAAAAGAAAATGTGTACTATAGAAATATTTTATTGTCTTTTTGGACACTTTGAAATGTTTTGAGGGACTTTTTTCATATTTTTAAAATGTAATATCTAACGTTACAGTCCAAGATTGGATTTTAGGGTGGCTTGCAGATAGTTAAACCATTCAGGAAAAATACTATAGAAGCAGAAACAACCACATTAAATAATTAGCTCAGAACTGTTCCCAAATATTTGTGTGACTTTTCCAGTCTGCTTTCCAGGGCCTGTTGGCATTGCTATTATTAAAATTAAACTTTATATGAAGTATTTCTTCCAGGATAGCATTGTAGCTGAAAAGAATTTAAATTCTAATTACTAAATTGATTCATGGCTCTCTTATCTCCTCAAGGAATGTCTTAAGGAATTACCTTATTTGAAGAAGAAAAATCTGTTCCCCTTTCTTTTGAGAAGTAGCAGGGGAAATTCTGACTGCAAGTGATCTGAGAGCTAGAGTCCTTGAGCCTTCCATACTAGTGGTTTCAATGCTGAATCCTGCAACCTTTAACTTGCCTTATATACCAATGTGATTTGCGCATTAAACCTTGGACAGAACTGGGGTTGTGAGTTTGAGTTCTACACCGTGCAGGACAAGTCAAGGCAGATATAACAGTTACTGCTTTGCCCATCAAGCTCTCAACCCTATATTGTCATAATCCAGAACGTGAAAAGCTAGACTGGACGGGAATTACCTAATCAGCTCAAGAGCTCCTGGTTTGTATGCCAGGAATCTGATCCTCAGGAGGGTCTTGACTGCTCAGTGGATAGCTTCTCCCTCCTCTTTTGAGTAGAGATCTCACATTTTCAAGGGTTCTATTGCATGAAGTGAAATATTAGACATGTAATTACAGCACCCCTTACTTGGCAGGTAGATATTTTCATTTTTGTATTCATATCAATTTAAATAAAAATGTCTGTCCGGCCTTTCAAGTACCATACACCACTCAGGGCCATGTTTGGTGGGGTTCTGTTTAAATATGTGGTATCTTTCATATTACGACTATACATTAATATGCATTTTTCTATTTCCCATTTCTTGCATTCTTCTATTCATTTTTAAGAGCTTAACTTGAAGTCTGTTATTCGTGATAGAAAGTTCTCCCTCTTTTTGTAATTTAGGGAACTCATACAAGTTTCAAGCTGGTAACAGAATGAATGCAATGCTGTGGTTTAAGCATCTGAGTGCTGCCTGCCAAAGCAACAGACAACAGGTGAGGGAATTATGGCCTGATTTGGCAACTAGCAATGAGTGCTAGATATTAAACAATTCTGTACATAAGTCAGTCTTCAGTCTTGCTCTGAATAACCATTGTTCAGTTCTCATAAAGGTCTCTTCTAGTAGCTCCTGGCGTTACTGAAGATAGGTAGCTTCATATATCTCTAATTAGCAGCTCAAAACAATGAGCGCATGTTAAGTGCATGTAAAAATGAGTTCCCGGTTTGCATTTATTTCCCCTGGGACACATTTAAATACACAAGCAATCAAAAATGCAGCATTAGGGCAATGTGTCACATTTCCTCATACAGTCCCAAGAAATAAATGGCTCCCATTGATTGCATTAGAGGAGTTTTTTAAAAAATAAAATAAAAAATAAAGTCTGCTTTGAGGGCCTTGAGCAAGATTATGAAAACAAAGTTAAAGATTTACATGAATCACCATTTTCCAAGGAAAATTAAGAAGTTCCATTCATAGGAATGGATAGGTATATAAATATATATCGTTCATAATTGTCAGATTACTATATTCAACTTTTTTCAGATTTTATGCCATGTGAAACTCTGCCTTACTACCCACTCTTAATGCCCTCCACGATTTATATTTAAAAGCTCACCATTATATAACTATTGTGCTATTGAATCCTGATTCCATTCTGTAGCATGCAATTCTAGAAATCATGCTTTGCTTTATATATGTTTATGTTGTTTTATTCCCTCAAAATGTGCTCCACTTACATGGTTATTTAATTTTAGTTTTCTTACATTTATATGGTGCCTTTCTTCCACCGTGTAACCAAAGCAGCAAACTTTTGACTCCAAGGCAGTCCCCCATCCAAGCCCTAACCATTCCCAGACCTGTTCAGTTTCAGCAAGGTACTGGCCTCATGTGCTTTCATACTATACCCTGGGACCCCCAACCCACTTGTTTCAGATTTTGAGGCTGCAAGGAGGAGGAAATGAGGAAGGGGTCCCATTGCATTTGCACAAGTCTATTCCACTTGCAGACAAACATATCTCTAGACTTAGTACGGGTGAAAAATGTAGTAGTATACAGTGGTACCTCGCAAGACGAATGCCTCGCTAGACGGAAAACTCGCTAGATGAAAGGGTTTTTTGTTTTTTGAGCTGCTTCGCAAGACGATTTTCCCTATGGGCTTGCTTCGCAAGACGGAAACGTCTTGCAAGTTTGTTTCCTTTTTCTTAACACCGTTAATACAGTTGCGACTTGACTTCGAGGAGCAACTCATAGAACGTGGTGTGGTAGCCTTTTTTGATGTTTTTAAAGACTTTGGTGATTTTTGAAGCTTTTCCAAAACTTTCCCGACACCGTGCTTCTCAAGACGAAAAAAATCGCAAGACGACAAAACTCGCGGAACGAATTAATTTCGTCTTGCGAGGCACCACTGTAGTTCTTTTCCATGAGCACAATATCAATATTTTTTGCTAGCAGACGTCACTCCTTACTACATACATATCCAGCACTCAAAGGAATGAGTTGTAAACCGAGGCCAAGACATCCAGAGCGGATAACCTTTACCCTTCTGCCCCTTTTGTGAAATTTGAAAGTTACTATGCCATGTTAAATGCATATCTTTTCCCAGTGTCTGTATAAAATACCTAAGAAGTGGCTCTGCTCAATTTAGAAACAATCTTTCAAAAAATAATCAGACCTACACAAATATTAGGCATTAGATTACATTGTGAGTGGGGAACTAGATCCAGTCAGATTCCTAAACCCCCGTCCCCCTCAGGCCAGCTTTGACTGGTAGGTGGGGCCACCCACATGAGTCATCTGCTATCATAGTGATGCTAAACGATTGACATCTGTCAAAGTTTAAAGGAGGTTGCTATAACTGCCAATCAACTGATTTACAGTGGTGCCTCGCAAGACGAAAATAATCCGTTCTGCGAGTCTCTTCGTCTAGCGGTTTTTTCGTCTTGCGAAGCAACCCTATTAGCGGCTTAGCGGATTAGCGCTATTAGCAGCTTAGCGGCTATTAAAGGCTTAGCGGCTTAGCAGCTAAAAGGCTATTAGCGGCTTAGCGGCTTAGAAAAGGGGGGGGAGCGGAAAAAAATCGCAAGACGTTTTCGTCTTGCAAAGCAAGCCCATAGGGAAATTCGTCTTGCGAAGCAACTCAAAAACGGAAAACCCTTTCGTCTAGCGGGTTTTTCGTCTTGCGAGGCATTCGTCTTGCGGGGCACCACTGTACTGCAATCTCCTTGAAGTCATGCATTCAGTACCAGTCAGCTGATTGGCTCTGGGTGCGCCCCTTCAGAGAGGCTTGCTATAACTTCAGACCAGCCTTCAAACTCTGCAGAGGGAAAAATTATTCAAATTCAAAGAAATTAGGAAGGTTGCAACTGGTTGTGCCTCAACTTTGGATCTCACTAGGAAGAGCAATCTAATAATGGATTCCTACAGTCACTTCTGTTTTGACCTTATGGAAATGTGTAGCTCTCCAGTGGTAAAGAAAACAACTTTTTGATTGCCCAGAGAACATCTGTTATTTCTTCCTTTGTCCAGGACTGTCTATCATTGAATTTATGCTCTCTTAGTAAATTATAGTTCGGAATATGATGAGGAGCATCCTTTCATTTTTCATGGTGCTATGAATAGCTGAGTGATAGTCTCAGCAAGGCTAATAAATTGGCTTCTGAATAAAATCACTATTTAAGTGCAAAACAACAACACCCAGTCCAATAACATTTATTGTTACTATCTTATCAAGAGACACAGGTGCTCTTCAGGAATAGTCATGGATTGACTCCAACTCCAGACTGAGCAGGGGGAAAGACTAGCCCCTTATATTCTGCCTAATTCAGGCCACAAATCCTACTAGCAAGCAAGAAAACAAAATGGACATTTGTTTATATTTTTCCTCACATGCAAGCCAACTTGTACAGTAGTGGGCAGTCTCCAGCTCACAGGCCTTTGGAGATGATACCCAAAATATAAGATACTTTAAGGTTTATTTTTTACATCAGGAAGCAGGCATGGAGGCGAGACAGATTCACATTTTAATGCAAACCCACCTAATTTGCTTTTCCCAAAACAATACATGGAGTTTGAAATTTGTACTTCTCTGAATTTTGTGATGCAGTTATCGAAGAAAAATGTGTTTTAAAATATATATTGGGGAAAATATAGATTGGAAGGCATCTATTAGTGAAAATAATTTACAAAAATTATATTAGCAAAAAATAGGAGAAATGCACACTAAAAATTCTGGTGAATTTTCATGAGAGCTTTTAAAACTAAACACCACAAACTGATGTGAAAATGTGACAAACTGAATTAAGATTTTAAAAGATGAGAAACTGAGAGAAACCAAGATTGACAGATTTCTCCATTCCTCGCAGGAAGTCATTGTTTGCTTTTTGCACCAGAGCTGAGCTATAACCTAGAAATCTAATTTTCCTTACAAAACCATTGCATATGTTTTTAGGTTCCTGCCAACTTGATGACTTTTGAGTGACAAACTTCTTCAAAACATGAACGAAGATGACACTTTTGAATGCTGTCTGCCTATCTCCTAGTTTGAGGATGGAGGTTCTGGCGGAAACATGCCCCAGTTACACTTCTGTGCCAGAACAAAGATGGTAAACAGAGTTTCAAATCTCTGAAGTACTGAACAAAAAAACATACTAAGAATTCAGGGGATGGAAGTGCAAGAGGAACTGCCATGGACCATGTTGCTGCTTAATATTTTCTGAACCGACCTGTGGAAACCACTGCCTTAAAGAATGACAGGAAACCCAACATGAAACACCAAATACTCTGTGTGTGTGTGTGTGTGTGTGTGTGTGTGTGTAAGAAAGAAAGAAAGAAACCTCTGGCGTGCTTAGGTTAAATCAGATGTAGCTCATTCGCATTTGTGTTAACTTTGTTATCTTTGAATTTAAAAGCCCACCTTTGTTTCTTTGTAAAAGGAAACCTCGTACTGCTTAAGGGTTGTGTTAATGGGCAGGTTTGCAAGGACATAGCTTGTGTGTTCTTGAAGAATGTGCAGTTACTATACTTCTATCCCTCCATATCAGTTCTTTGGGGGCTCAGATAATTGGCATCACTGTTTTATTTGTTTATGCTTAGAATGTGATAAATGTAATATATGCAAGTTTATTCTCTTTTCTCAAAGCACTGTCTTTGTGGAACCTAGTACTGTATATGGGGATTTTCTTTCCGACAAGTGGCACAACAGCTGAACATTAAAACACCACACCCTCCTTTTTCAGAGTTCTTGGTTGTAAATTTCCTGATAGAAATAGTCTGCAGGATTTGGTAAAGCACGCTCTGGGAAATAGCATCAGGTCAGAACTGAGCCTTTATTCCTCAGTGTATTTTCAAATGGGTGACACTCTTTTATTTCCCCAACAATGCATTGTAAAGCTTTTCAACAGGCCTGTTTACCGCTTAAAGCCCCATCTTTTGTTGCATTGATAACATTTTACAAGTGACAGTCTTACTCCACATCTCTTCTTGCAGATTGAGACGCACAATGCCTGTATTTGTAGTTTGGAATTCTGAGTTACACTGAACTCTTCTCTATCAGATAAAGAAATCAGATCTCCGTAGCAAAAGCTCACAAAATGCAACTCTCAGCATAACCAAGAAAAGTAAGAGCTTGACATGAGAGAAAGCATTGACAGAATGAAAATTTAAAGAGTGGATTATTTCCTACATGAAAATTAAATGTGTAACTACACTTTTTGACCACATTTGTGGGAAATTATTGCATTTCAAAGATGCGTCTCTCTTTTCTCTTCTTTTTTTGCATGTGGTTCTTTTCTGAAGTGCTTTAAGGCTTCTTCAGAACCTTCCGATGATGGTAATCAAATGAAAACAGGGCAAGTAGGAATATACCACAGCACTACAGTCCTAGTCAATAAGAGAAAAGATTGTATTCATTCTGCAGATTATCATGCGTTAGCTCTATGCTTAAGTTTATTCACAGATGAGTAACAATCTTTTTATTTTTATCTGCTTCAGAGTAGAATTTTGCTGACTCATACTTCCAGAGCCCAAATTTTCCAAAGAGCTTCCCCCCTAATTAGTTAGAATAGGGCAGAGACTGGCAGCCGTCTGCAAAGGAAAAGAATAAGAACGACATGAAAGTTGCTCTGAAGCTGCAAATATAAGTCCATCTTTCTAAGTGATTGACGTTTGAATTCTGCTCCTTTTTTCTTCCCATAATAATATTAACAGGTTTTGAATATTTGCCCCATGAGGAATGAATGCTCAGTTCTGACCTTGTAGTGGTGTTATGTCACTTGCTTGTTCTGTGTCACTTAGTTTACATGTCTCCCACAATAACCCATGTTGGGTGTTTCGTTAAAAAGAGAGAGAGAGAGACATCTTCATAGCCAGCAGTATTACTGTACAGAATTTGCACAACTTTCCTTTTTAAAATTACTACATGTTTCTTTTCAGAATAAGCTTTTTTTTTAAAAAAAAAAGAAAGAAATGAAAAACAACTTCAACACAACACTATAAATGTATGTACTTAGTATTATGGAAGGTAATCCTGTGGAATTTTTATTTTTTTAAGAGAAAGAGTGAAAACAATTGTGTAGATACATTGCAGGCTAACCGTATTTGTTCTTCATGTTTTTATGAGTAGAGAGATGCAACTGGGAACCCCTTTATATGATGCAGGTTTGCAAAAGACAGAGGGCCAATTCACATTACCTTTCCCCCCGTGGTACTTCATTAGGTTTGTGGCACACTAAATGGGTCTTTGTGAGATTTTTCAATATTCTGTCCAAATTATAGCACAGTACATCCCTCTTCAATTAGTTTTGAAGTCTTTTAAGGATATGGCTAGCTACAATCTAGACAACCTTTTGTAGTGTTCATGAGACCAGTTCATCACATCAAAATCTATGTTAAATGGAGATTATTGTTTTTGTGACTGCAGCACACACACAATGATCCCACAAATTGACTCAAAACTAAACCGGTTTGACAGCCTTTTCTTATATCCATACAGCAAGTTTCAAAAGATAGGAAAGACAGTATTAAAAGCTGGCAAACAGTCCTGACTACCTTTTGCCAATGCTTTTATCCAGCTTCAAATATAATATATTTATCAGAAAGCTTTAATTGAAAATGAAACTGCTTTCTCTGGTTTATGAGAATTAGCAGAGAGAGTTGTGACAATTTCATAGGTTTCAACTAACATGATTGATACATTACATGAACTTAGATTGTCTTAATATTACGCACAACTACTGAGCCATTCCAGTTTTATGAGGTGGTCAAATTGTCAAAAATAAGCTTTTTACATCTTTTTACATATAGCCACATGTTACTACACCCCTCCCCCCCATTTACCAAAAAATTGAGGTAAAAAAAGGAGGCTTGATTTATAATATTTCTTTTATAGTTTCTTTTGTAAATGAATAGTCTTTTAAGTATACTATCAGTAGAAAGAACTATTTAATTACTACAGTATGATTCAAAAGGCATTGTGTTAAATCCTGTGATATAAATTCACACCACAGTGCTATGAATTCCATTAAATTTATTTACTTTGAAACAAATGGCTTTTAAAACAAGACTCCCATCCAAAAAATATTGAACCAATCTGTGTCTGAATGAGGCAATTTAATTGCTTGTTATCACAAGTAACTTTTAAAAATGTTGTGCTACCTGTGTGAATTCTTTGTCAAACTTATTTGACAGTGATAAATTGAAAACACTTCAGGTTTTTCCTATGACCTCAGATACTGGTTGCTAAATATATATATATTTTTCTATGTTTTTTTATTCCACCTAAAACCAGTCAAGTAGTCTTAGTATCTTGAATAAGTGATGTTTTGATTTTAACAAAACGATCCACACTATAGTTCACACTCTCTGAGTTATGTGCCGATTTCTGTGAGCACTTTGTAAAAATGAAATTGATTGTGCTACAATAATTTAGTTTACAGTTTGGTAAGCTGTTTACTAAGATGTTTTGAAATTTCCTACAAGGAATGTTTTAATTCAAAAGAGTAAAATTCTCCTGTTAAAATCTAAAAAAACCACCCGTATTAAGGTTGAAAATCATACAACAAATACAGAATACCTTCCTCCTACTGTGCCTGTTTTTCACAGTGCTGTTATCAACACCTTGATTAGAGAATCTCTATAGCACTCCTTAACCGAATTTATCAAGCTTAAGTTCAAATATATCAGATTTCTTCACTTTCCATGCAATAAACTTTAGGGATCAGTTGTTTCACATGGTGTTTCACTTAGTTTTTCACTCATTCTACCATCCCGGATAATTTTGTTCTTGTCCTGCTCATTTGCAATTGGGCAGCAGTATGTAAGTTGCTTAATGTCATCAGACTCCTTTCCTGGCATATTTCAGCAAAATAAAATCTTTGCAATGAAACCACAGATGAGGACAACTTCACACGTGACTTTTTCCTTCATGGAAATTACGTCAATGTACATGGGAAAATGTGTGGCTTCAGGGGAAATTGTTGCAAGCACTGTGCCTGTATCTTGATTCACACATTTTTCCCTACATGAAGATTGTAAGAAAAATGACCCTGAAATTGCTTGCATAAATAGTTTGCGGGTTACACCTGAACTGTAAATGCCTGTTTGCAAATGTTGCTGTTAGAGACACACCACCACCAGTTATAAAGACTGGTGTAAAGAATATTGTGAAGCAAAACTCGTAGTTTACTTGCTAATTTTGAAACACATTCCTATAACCCTGTGTATTAGCCAGGGGCACACAAATCTGTTTCAAATGAAGCTCAGTCATGAGGTGATCTTTCCAGTTGCATCTTTTTTTCTCATTGTTTTGTACATATTTCTCTTTCATTCCTAAGTGTTATTAATCCTGATCTACTTTTCTCACTTGGTATGCTGGCCGCTATGAAAAACACTAAAACTGGTACGAAATAGCCAGTTTTCATTTCCCTGAAAAATTACCCTTTTTAATAGTTTGCTGTTTGCAAGTTGCTCCCTTCCTTCCATTAAAAATGGCTTGTGTCTAAGGTTAAAAGCTGCGATTAAAACGATAAGCAGATAGAAAATGTCCCTTCAAAGCAGAATGCCATTCCCTGCCCATCATTGGGCACAACATATCTGCATAAGATGTTTGCCAGTGCCTTAATTACCTGTTTGAAGACCAACTGGGCTAGCCAACCATCACTATTCCTATGCATTACCCCATTCATGCAAATTGTGTTTTGCTTTGATTTTTGAAGGAGCCCCATGGAAGCCTCCTTGAAGCTTGAATAGTCAGTATAATAACTCAGTTATTCTTGCCTTCCTTTTGCTCTGAAGTTCAGTATTAGTATAGTAGTGGTGGTTTGGATTCATTCCATTCTCAATTTTTTTGAACAATAGTATAGAGCTGATTTGGATGACAGTTCAGACCTTTGCTAGGTGGTAAGGTCCTATGGTAAGCTGGGCACTTCAGGGCAGCCTGGCCCAACTCTCATCGGCACCATTGGGGGTGAGTGAGCCCTTGAGTCATTTAAAAGAGCAGCTCGGAATATCACACAATATCAACTTTTAAGCTAGTTCAACCTAATTACGAACTGAGCACTCCATGATGCTGTGTGTTTGAAATGTCTCTGTCATACTAGCAACCTAAGGTTTTAAGGTAGACCAGGTCACATCCGAACTCCCGCTACCTAAATATAAATAATCTCTAGAGCATTTCAATATTTTCATTGGGTTTTTCCAGTCACCTAATGGCACTCATAAAGAAATCGGAACATGCCCCCCCCCCAATTTGGTTTATTGTGTTATTTGAACTCACTCGTACAGAAAGCATGTTCCCTTTTTAAAAAGTATATCAATGTATAGAGGTCATCAGGAAAAAATCCTATGCAAAACTTGGTAAGTAACGTAACACATTTGTCTTTAAACTTTGATGTACTGGGGTTTTGAGAAACAAAATTAAACTTGAGTAAAACTAACTAAATAAATAAAACGGAAGGCTATGTTCATGAAACAATTGTTATTTCTTCAGATATTGAGGAAACTGTTATATTCCCCCCACAGCCCCACACCCATGTGAATCATAACCGAATATATTTTTAAGTCTAAACCTCAGATATGATAGTGCAAGTGGTTGACAGCTGCAGGTTGTGAAAAGTAAATGTTCACATCTAGAAATGGATATTGCAATGTCATAAGAGACTCATTGTGAAAGGTTGTGTATAGATGAAGGAAGCTACTGTCCATATTGGGATAGTTCTTGAATCTTGGCCTTGCTGAACAACCAAGAAGCCAAAAATATTTCTTTTGTGCAATGTAGAAATAAGGAGAAAGATGTTTTCCTTCTGGATTGTTCAGCAATGTCCAAATTCAATAACTACTACTATTCCTGGAATCCTGAATTACAAATTAATTTATTGCTTATGCTACTCATAACCTACTACAAGTTAATTTATGGGAGGGGGAGAAAGAAAGAGATGCAAAGTCCACATTATGCAAAACACAAGCCATTTTTAATGAATATTCTTCCCTGTTGACCTGAAGCACCATTTTGATTGAGGTTGAATGCACTATGATCTCAATGAGTGATGTGCAGTTTTGCTGTTCCTTGTCCTTTTCCCTCCCGATTTTTAATACGTGTGTGTGTGCGTGCGTGCGTGCGTGCGTGCGTGCATTTTGAACTGCGTGTTTGCATTAGCTATTTCAACATGGCTACAAGTATGGACTTAAAAATAGAATTTTCCTACTGAAATAAATAACTTAAAATTTCAACCACGTGCATTGTCGTTTTACATACTCACATGTCTATTGCAGCAAGTCTTGAGTGTGGAGCCAGCTTTCTCTAAATGGAGTGACACCTTGGATCATCTGAAATTTGGCAGTAACAAGCTGGCTTTCAGAAGAGTTGAGGCAAAATGGGAATATACTATTGCCAATAACTAAAATGAGCAAATTGGTTGGGGTGTTAAACAGCATAGCAGAAACGCATGTATCATCTAATTAATTTTCTAAAATATTACAAGTACTAAACTCTCAAGTCTCTTCTAGCTTCCTTCATAATCTTGAAACAAACTTTTAAAAGCATTATCTTGGAGCACTTAATGCAAGATTCCCCAAGTGTTTTGAGTTTCCAGGGCAACAAAGTTGGGAGCAGCTAAGGGTACTTTTCCGCAGGGTGATCCTCTTCCCTAGGAGAAGGTATTTCCTCCCCAAGCAATGTTGGGCTTTCATCAATCAAAGCCCACCCTCTGAATTGTTCCCAAACAGCACCAGAATATTGTACCCTGCTTGTAATATGGTCAGTGAGTCAAATCACTGAAGATGTGAATGCTGGGTTCTAAGTGACAATTCAACAGACTTGTCACAAACTTTTCACAATGTGAATTTGTTGAAATGAGCTCTTGGAGATATTGCTGTGATTGACTATAAGCAGCGACTGGCATTTTAATCTCTCGAGTCATATACCTGAGATATATGACAAGGAAAAATCTCTGTGCCCATCTTACTGATGGCACAAAATCCCATAGCCATTTAAGTGTGTTAAGGACATTGAAATCAATTGTATGATTTCCAGAAGATAAAGATGTTGATCACATTTGTGACTTCCCTGTTAAAAACAAGGAAAATCACTGCAAAGCAGTACTGGGAATGTTTTTGAGATCTCACAGTTGCCTCATCAACACCTCTTGGTCATGTTGTTCAGTTTATTTGGTCTGCTGACAATAAACGATCAAATACAGGTAGTGTTACCAAGACAAACACAGCAAGAAAATAATATATACATCATAAACATGCACACAAATTGAACCTTTTAAAATGAGCATTAAAAAAGAACCATTTTGACTCAGAACTTATCTTCATGACGGCAATAATGATGATAACAAGTTTCAGGAAGTTCTAATATTAGCAATAGGGTGCAATTTGCCAGTGAAGCTGCTTTGGAGGAGTCCTGCTGATGATTTTAGCTAAGAAAAGGAGTGGAGAATCTTTTTGGCCCTGTGGGTGAGGTCTTTATCTCCCCACCACACCCATGGGCAAACTTTTGAGACTTGGGCAGGCCCACTCACCTGTCGGTCATCTGACGTCATGTGTCAAGGAGCCATCAGGCAAGTGGGTCATCCACAGGGCAGGAACAATGTGAGGCACAAAATGCAATTAGCTTGTTCAGCTCGAGAGGCTGCTGAAACTGACCACTGGCCCTGCCCTTTGCCTCTATCCACTCACTCTGGATCTCTCCCAATCAGACAAAGGCTGTGTCAATCAGGAGGGCTCCTTCTCTGGGCCTGTCTGGCCTGTTGCTCAGCAATTTGCAGGACTCTCCTAGAGTGGGGTGTGTCAGAGAGGGAGGAGAGTCAACAGGTCTGAGACTGTCGGGTAGCAACAGCAATCTCTGGCTCCTCTCTGAGTCTGTGTTCACACTGCAACTCTCAGCCTCTAGCCCTGTCCTGGGAGGGCCTCCTTCTGACCCCCACTTGATCACTCAAACCCTGATTCCAGCACCTCCCAGCTTATTCCATCTCCCAGACTGCTCCCACCACCATGATCTGAGGTCACCATGATCTGAGAGCCAGTGTGGTGTAGTGGTTAAGAGCGGTGGACTCGTAATCTGGTGAGCCGGGTTCGCTTCCCCACTGCTCCACCTGCAGCTGCTGGGTGACCTTGGGCCAGTCACACTTCTCTGAAGTCTCTCAGCCTCACTCACCTCACAGAGTGTTTGTTGTGGCGGAGGAAGGGAAAAGGAGATTGTGAGCCGCTTTGAGACTCGGTGATAAAGCGGGACATCAAATCCAAACTCCTCCTCTTCTAAGTCGTCTTCGGTGTCATTCCTGCGTGGCTCTAGGGTAGACAGCGCTTGCCACTCTTCCTTATCCAGTCAGTCGCTGACATCATGTCCGGTTATTGGTAGGTTTGTGATCTCATCCACCTGTCATCCACCTGATCCACAGGTTTAGGTTTGCTTTGGCAGCATGTTTCCCATAGGGGATGCGCTGGCAAAAGTAGCACCAGCAGTATTAAACCTTCCTCTCACCAGCTGCTGAGTGAAAGGTCCATCCTCCTGGCTGGTCTGCTTCCCCAGCAGGACTGAACCCTCCACTTGGCAGCTGATGAGAATCTAGCTAAATAACTCACATATTGTGCTATTAATCTAGTTCAATGCCAGATGTGATTGGGATTTCCATTCCCATACATGGTATGGGATTTATTTATTTGAATACATGGACACATACACAGGATTAAACTGAAAATAGATATAGACAGTGGTACCTCGGGTCAGGTGAGATGTTGCGTTAAAAGCACCACCTAATTACAGTGGTACCTCGGGTTAAGTACTTAGTTCGTTCCGGAGGTCCGTACTTAACCTGAAACTGTTCTTAACCTGAAGCACCACTTTAGCTAATGGGGCCTCCTAATGCACGATTTCTGTTCTCATCCTGAAGCAAAGTTCTTAACCTGAAGCACTATTTCTGGGTTAGCAGAGTCTGTAACCTGAAGCGTATGTAACCCAAGGTACCACTGTATGTTACATAAAAAGTCTTTGCCCCTTCTTATTGAAAAACAAACCATTTTTATACTTTATCTTTACCAATAAATATACAATCATATGAACCTACTGAAGGCAAAAAAGTTGAAACTTTTTAAAAAATAAATAAATGATATTTTGCTATTTATTCAAGGAGAAGCAGCATTTAAGGTAAGATGAATATATTCTTGAGAACATGGTGACACATGATACTCCATGTCAGTCCTTCTGTGCTGTTTCTCTGCATTACACCATTTTAGAGTACATTCATTTAGCTCTTGTTAAGAAATTGGGTGCATTAACGTCTGGCGCGGTGGGTCTAAAGCTCCTTTCTACCTTATTTCCCTGATAGTACCATATACTTCTACACTCACTGTTGGTTTTGGGTGTTCTTTCAATGAGACAGAGCAGAGTTTTCATTATTTCCAAATTATGGAACTTTTTACAATCCTGTAAAGTATTTAATACTGCTAAACAGTAATGTGAAATTAATTTGTCTGCGGGGTTCTGTCCATTTTTTCCAGGGATTTCTTTCCCTCATAAAACCATTCAGTTCAGTTCACCACAGCAGAATTTGGTTGTCGGGTTTTCTGACGAGACCTGCTTCCAAAGCATACACATGGCTTCTGTGATTGCAGACAGTGTCTGGGGCACACCTGGGTCACCGCAGTTCAGATGGTGTTGCCATGGGAGACTGTAACTCTTTCCTGAAACGTGTGTTTTTCGAGAATCTCAGGGGAGGTCTTTTTCACCTGTCTTAACTTCTCTGCACATAACAGCCTTGATTATTTAAATTTGGCATGCTGTTCTCCTTTGTGCAATAGATAGATTTATCGCTTGCTTATCCCAGCCTTCTGCTAAAGGAGCTCAAGGCATTGTATCTGAAGGTAGGTGATTATTCTCATAATAATCTTGTGAGGACATTTCATGTTTAGTTAAAATGACTTTGTCAAAACCATTCTATGATGTGGAGATTTGAGCCCAGGTTTCCCACACCCAAGTCCAACCATTATTGTACACTGACTTAGTTGACTGCAATAGTAGCCAGGGGGAACTAGCCAGGCATAATAAATTTAGAATAGCCGAGCGATGGGAGTCCACGAACTGAAGTGAACCCCAGCCGACGAAGCATCAAGGCGAGTTAAACCGCAGAGTGAATTTGACAGCAGGGTGAGGCCAAGGCGCGCTACTCTGCCCCTCCTCTCCTTGATCTAAACAAAACCTCAGCTTCTAATAACTTATGCATTTGGAAAGCCAACAAGGCGTATACGGTTTCCCCCGTGTTTTGCACTGTCTGCCATATGAACAACTTCCCTGCCTGTTGGACAAAAGCTGTGAGGGTGTCCTCGGTGCACTGAGCTCCTTGCTCTCTGGGAACAAGTTTGTTCCCTTGAGGCCACAATGGCTGGCCTAGAAAGGATCTCAAGGAAGGAAGGTATCACTCTGAGGAAGAGAGAAACAATCCCTTAGAAGGGTCCCCTTCCTTGGAGCATGGGCAGCTGTCCTTTCATGCCAGTGGTGCTTCTCTGAAGGGCTGGGAGGAAGAGGTATCCTGGTGGTGGGTGATTCAATCACTAGGAACATAGAAAATTGGTGTGTGGTTGGCCGATGGACTGCAGGGTGAGTTGCCTGCCTGGAACTGCAGCAAAATGTTGTAGTGTGGAATACTCCTGTTTGGTGTTACAGTCAGCCTTCTTTTGATATGCCGCTCCATCCCACCACCTCTCACCTGGTTTTTGATCCCGTCTCCTGCCAACAGCCAGTACTCAAAGAGCTGCTTTTCATAGAATCATAGAGTTGGAAGAGACCACAAGGGCCATCGAGTCCAACCCCCTGCCAAGCAGGAAACACCATCAGAGCACTCCTGACATATGGTTGTCAAGCCTCTGCTTAAAGACCTCCAAAGAAGGAGACCCCACCACACTCCTTGGCAGCAAATTCCACTGTCGAACAGCTCTTACTGTCAGGAAGTTCTTCCTAATGTTTAGGTGGAATCTTCTTTCTTGTAGTTTGGATCCATTGCTCCGTGTCCGCTTCTCTGGAGCAGCAGAAAACAGCCTTTCTCCCTCCTCTATGTGAAATCCTTTTATATATTTGAACATGGCTATCATATCACCCCTTAACCTCCTCTTCTCCAGGCTAAACATGCCCAGCTCCCTTAGCTGTTCCTCATAAGGCTTTTAGCCGTTCCGCATAAGGCTTTTGCAGGTTCCTTCACCCTTTCAAGGTTTTCCCTAAATATTTTTGTATT